CTGCGTATTTGCTGAGATTATTGCCCCTAACTGAAGGAATCAATTCGGGCAAGTTTCAGATGGCAAGGTGCGGGGATCTTTGTGCAAAAGCAGTCACCACAGTTTGGAGGTTTAAAAGAACAGAGGTCCATAAATTTTGGGTGGTAATTGTTATGAACATGACATACTGCCTAGAGGTCACCCTAGTTAAGGGAAAAGTGCAGAAGGATGGCTTCTTTTGCGGAAGGGGTGTTAGCCCATTCTGTTTCACTGTATTTTTGCAACATGTATGGCAATGTCATGCCACAGGTTAGTTGCTTGCAAAATTTCAAGACAGGTGCGAGGGCCAGGGTAGCCCTAGATGTTTGGGAGTATAGTTCCCACAATTCCTGACCTATGCTTCTTAGCACTGATGGGAAGTGAGGTCCAGAATACTCAGAGAGCACCAAGTTGGGTTAGGAAGATACGGCAAATGAAAAACAGCTAGAACGCTGGTTGCACCCAAGTCAAAGAACTTGCAGTAGAACAGGGGAGGATAATCGGGACAACAGGCAGATAATGAGCATTCACCATTTCCCAAGCAAACATGCAAAGTTCAACCTTAAGCATCCCACAAACACCAGCAAACCTCTTTTAACATTTCTGTCCCTGGGAGAGAGAACTAGCAACAAGCAATGATCAGTCCTATGGTCTATTATGCCATCATCCCTCCCTCAAAACACTTGGATTGGACACTTTGGTAAAACACCCATTGCAATTGGAAGCTAGAGCTGCAAACCACAAAACTGCTCCATGTCCTCTTCCTCCCTGCTTTCTGCATTCTGCTGTTTTCTTTAGAGAATCTGAGGGATTTCATATCAATTTTTGGAGACACGCCATCTGTGTCCATCCGAATCATGCATCTTCACAAGTTTTCAGATTTGGACTCCATTTGCTATGAGGAGCCTTGCTTAGCTTCTGCCAGCTTGATTTGGTTCAGGATTTATCTGAATCAGGTGCACGAACCTAGAGAGAAGGGCATGCACATTGTTGCTGATGGTGAAAGGGAAAGTCACGGAATATTGCAATTTGGGGGGATTTAAATAAAAATAAAAAGGGATGCAGGTGGCGCAGTGGTTTAAACTGCTGTGCTGCTGTGCTGGTTGATCGAAAGGTCGCTGGTTTGAATCTGCACAACTGGATGAGTTCCTGTTGCTCCATCCCAGCTCCTGCCAACCTTGCAGTTCAAAAGCATGCAAATGCAAGTAGATCCAAAGAGGTCCGCCTGGCACCGTCGTTACTGGTTTTTCGGCGCCAGGTAAAGACCTTTTTATTTAAACATCATTTCAATTGTTAAAACATATGATCTGGCCTGGGCAACTTCTTCTTCCTTCTCTTTCTCCTCCTATATTTTTATTTTATACTGATAATTTTAATTTTGTATTTTTTGTATTTTTATATTTAATGGTAATTTATTATGTACTATTGTATTTCAATGTATTTTATCATGTTGTAAGCCGCCCCGAGGTTTCGGCAAGGGGCGGCATAGAAATGTTATAATAATAATAATAATAATAATAATAATAATAATAATAATAATAATAATAAAAATAATAATAATAGATGAAAAGGTACCACTTCGGTGGGCAGGTAACAGCGTTCCGTGCACTTCGGTGTTTAGTCATGCTGGCCACATGCCCACGGAGACTGTCTGCGGACAAACGCTGGCTCCCCCGGCTAGGAAACGGAGATGAGCACCGCCCCCTAGAGTCAGGCATGACTGGACGTAACGTCAAGGGGAAACCTTTACCTTTGCCTAAATAAAAACACTTTTTAATTGTTGTGCAGCATTGGTTTTCACAGATAAGTTGCAGTTCAGCCCAGGATGAGGAGGAGGTGCTTGTCCCTAATCTGACCAACACCAAGTGCTTGTACTGCCATATTCACATTCACACATATTAAGCCACTTCTTGGGAAGATGTGCTCTTGAGCCTTTGCTAGACTTCCTTTAACTGCTCTTTTGCTCATAGCCTACATGGCTGAAGGGCAGTTTTACAACATATACTTGTGAAAGAATTTCTGCAACCATTAAAGACTTTCAGTTTCACATCTGGCCACTTTCAGTGGTACCCCCCCCCTCCCCATTTGTTGACAGTGACACCAGAGCTCTGCTCTTTATCAAAGTTCAGCAGAAATCGTACCCTATCAGTCCATTTATATCAAAGGTGGGAAACATAGGCTGTCCAGATGCTTCAGTCTACAACTCCCAAGATTCTTCACCATTTATTTATTTATTTATTTATTTATTAATTAAAACATTTTTATGCCGCCCCATTCGCCGAAGCCTCGGGGCGGCTTACAACATAGTTGCCGCCATTGACCAACATAGTTGCCGCCATAGCCATTGACCAACATTGATTAAGGCTGGTGGGAGATGCTTAATTCTTCGGCCAGGGTGACTTATTTTATGATGTTAATGTGTTTTATATTTTTAGTGTTTTATATTTTAACTGATGTTTTGTAAGCTGCCCCGAGGCTTCGGTGAATGGGGCAGCATAGAAATTTTTAAATAAATAAATAAAATGTAGACCAAGTTATCTGGAGGGGCATAAGGTGTCTATCCCTGCCAGACATCTTCCGTAAGACCTTGATGCCACTGATCATTGGAGATTAAGGTGCTCCCCACTCCCCTGATCTTTCCGGGGATGTGTCTACCATCAGTCTGTGCACATCAATGCGGACAATGGCAACATCCATTTTGCTACTCGCTTTTCCCACACCATGTGCACAGGCATTTGCTTTAAGCCACTTTCCAACTGGATGCCTAAAAAGGAGAGGAAACTTGGCATTTATAGAACTCATATAGAGAATGACATATCATCCCTAACTTACCTGCGGCTGTATTTTTACAAGCACCTCGTAAATAAGAAAAGCATCTTGTTTTAGTAAACAAGCAAAACTCCACATAGCTGTGAACTGAAGATAATTAAAAGCCACATGACTCCCACTTCCACAGACACGTCCTTAACTCAAGCAGGGAATGTGGTAAGTAGCCCTGCATTCCAGACTGTTACCTAGCTTCTCATTTAGTTCAATTATACATATATACAGCTTGCTTTAATCACATGCACTCTGTTAGTATGAAGGAAACCTTGGGAGCTGCAAAAAATGCTGCAATGTGAAGCGAAATGGTACCTGCCTGTGCGCTCCACTGTCCCACCTCTCTCCACCGAGTGCTCCGTCTCTCACCCACACCCACAGCCGGCAGTCTGTGTCCACTGAGCATGCTCAGTCCTCACTGGACTCTCCTGAGGGGGAGACATCTGCTTTTCAGGTTTGCAAGGGGTTTTCGTGTAAGGGGTAGGGTATTTCTGGAAACCTTGGGAGTCTTCCCTAGCCTGCTGATACCTCCTTTCTGCACATGGTTGGTGCAGCCCTACCTATGTAAGGGTAGCCAACTCATTATGTACCCATTCATGTGTATTATTCTATGCTGAGGACTACAGTCCTCACCTCTCCACCTGGAAAAATGGGAATACGCTGCTGCCTTGCCTCTCAGGACTGTGAGGAGAAGCCACTGCAGCACACAAAACAACCAGATCCTGTTTGCTCAGAAGTCCTACTGATCTACTTACTTGTAAATGTTCAAGATTTACTTCTAAATAGTCCATGTACATTATATTACCAGCACCAAACATGTAGGTGGATCTGGGGGCTTAGGCTGATGAGGAAGCTAGGCCATATTGCATCAGCCACCAGTATTTTTCTTTTAACTGAGAGTACATTTTTGCTAGCCATTGGAAGAGATAAAAATGGGACACTTAGATATGTCAGTATTCACCTTGCAAGCTGTTCCATTTTTTAAAACAGTTCTGAAGTTTGAACCACTTCACTCAACACGTTTCTTAAGTAGTGATAAAACTGGGGAAAACTCCACTAACGATAACCTCTTTTTCCATGGATCCTTGGAAAGTAACAATGAGGTGAATATCTGAAAGTAGACGTAAAGATCTGCCATTCTCCAAGAGGAAGGGACCTTCCATGAGAGGCAGGGCTCTGCTTGCGGATGGCCCCTCCGCCAGATTCCTTCCCCCCAACACAGCTTACCCTGTTAAGCAGGGTCTCCTAACTCAACATGATAACCCACATTCATGGCTTGAGGATGAACTGTGGCTTGTTGAATTGCCATCTATAGTGTTGTCTGAATGCAGCCATATTAACATGCCATTAATTTTTAGCCTTAAACAACCCACAAAAAATATACATAGTTTGTTGCTGGGTTGTGAACTACAGGTTGTGGTTAACAAACCATGGTTTGTTTGCAAAGCTGGGTTCAGACAACATAACTCGCATTTTAACAATCAATGATTCAGTAGCAGCTCGCACTCAATCCTTAAGTGCAGGTTATTGTACTGCCTGAAGTTACCCTCAGTAAAGCATTTCCATTGGGACTGGAAAGCCTAATGTGGAAAGCAAGGGGTGGGGAAACCTGTTTCCACCAGCAAAGTTGATCCACCGTAAACTTAGAGCCAAACCCACATGTATCACAACCTGAGTCAATCCACTTGAGCCAATTGGCATATGAATCTCCCTGCTTCTATTTCTTTAGCATTTATTGATCTGGCACTTTTTAAAATGATGTGACACCGTTCGGTAGCAAAGCACAAGTTCTCTCTATGGATGATCCCGGCTATCTCCAGTTAAAGGCTCCAGCAGCAGATCTATCAGATGCCAATCACAATACATAATACTGGGCTTCACAGCGGAATCTTTTGATCTGAATTGTAATGGTTTCCTATGGTCCAGGGAAACTATAGATACTAGTAGCCTCCCATTTTTAAAAGAACAATGAACATTGAACCAGGAATCATATAATTAGCTCTGGAGTTTTCCACATTTTACAAAACAGGATCAGGCATCAGAGTCAGTCTTGTAATGCTATGCAATAGAAGAAGTTTTGAATCTGTGCTTGGTTCTACAAGTGAATCTCTTTGCCTTTTGTTACAAAAGCTTCTTTTCTGAAAGAGCAAGACAATCAAATGTAAAAAATCTTCAAATGTAGTTTATTGAGACATTCAGCTATGTCTGTCAGTCTACATCAATTTCACTACTAAAAATAAAATAATGTCCACATTTCACATTAGGAACAACAACCCTGGAAGGAAAACAAAAACAAAAACAAAACACAATTTTGAGCGCCAAGCCTAGTGTATAAATAACTAGTTCCTTTTCATATCAAAATTCACATAAAAAATTGCCAGCTCCCAACCCACCCCCAGTCCCTAGTTCTACCTGAAAGCCATGATGAATGTAAAAATTTAAATACGCACACACTGTTGTCAAAGAAGAAGGTGCAAATCCTATTTAGGAGTGGCATTTGCGGCATTTGATCATACATTTTATGTACTCATTCCCAAAGGTGCAAATATCGCCAGATTAATACTGCTTTAATTCCGCTGCAAGAAATTAAACACTACACAGAACTGAACAGCACCGAGAGGCTTCAATCAGCATCCTAAAACCCCTCCCACATCTCTCCTGCACTCATGGGTGGAGTCGAGAGAAGAGCTCACTGGGATTTTAATTTACTTCACACAGCCCATGCTGCCCAAAACTTTCAAGAAAAAAGTTTTCTAAACGTTAAAGTGTTGAAGACTCCATTGTAAAAAGTCAAGAATTGCTATAGATTACATGAATGCAAATGCCCAACCCCCAACATGCCCGAAGCACCACACCCGACATACTTGAGTGCTGCCTGTTCCCCACACAATCCTCCTCGAGCTCTTTATCTTGAAAATGAATCTCTGGTCTTGACACTGGTTTTTGACGACGTTCTTGACTGAACTCCCTTCATTGCAGAAAGACACAGCCAAAGATACAACTCACCTCTCTTCTCCTTCAGTTTTAATGTCCCCCTTCTCAATATTAGCAACACTGTCCTTAGTTTTCCCTGTTTCTTTTTCGCTGCCTCCCCCTCTCCTCTTATGCCCACCTCCACCTTTCCCTTCCAAAAATACTCAGTCTTGATTTCCAGATTCTGCCCCTTTGCAACATGGTGGCAGATTCTAACGTAGTTTCCAGTGGAATCCACTGGCAGCCCTGTAAACCAAGCAGCTCACAGAAATCAGCATGGGATATTATAAATACATTTTGGCCAGCATTCTGAGAGTTAAACTTGTTCGTGACAATAAAAAGGGTAGGGTTCTGTCCACTAAGACAGGGACTCCTGGAGAGCTGCTTCTTGCACTAGCCTCTGCTGCTTCAGTTCTGGATGCAGCCTCCTAGCTCTTGCGTGACAGCCAGCTCCTGTTTCCCAGCCAGTGCGTCTGTGCCCGTTTCTCTCTGGCTGGCCTCCCTGGGAGCTGCAGCATCCAGGCTGCCAGGGCCATCCTTGGCATCCACAGAGTCCTGCAGGGAACCTAACTGCTTGGCAGCTTGTCCACTGTCAGTCGATCCCCCTCCTGCCCCTTCCTGGCGTTCTGCCCCAGGGGGCTCAGTGGCTTCTTGCTGAACAGTATTTTGCTCTGCTCCAGGATTTGGCTGTGGCACAGGCTCCGTTCCTATCCCAGGGGGCTGGGTGGGGTTTTTAAGTTGGCAGTGGCACAGTGGGCAGGTTTCTTGCACATACAGCCATTTCTTAAGACAGCCAGCATGAAAGAAATGGCCGCAAGGTGTGATGATAGCCGATTTCATGTCCTGAAAGAAAAGAGGCAGAGGAATCACGCAATATCCAAGCGCGCACACAGCCTCCTGACATTGCCCCAACATGCAAGAGGCCCAGATCAACTGCTAACAGCAACCCACGATCACCTGACCGCTGTCCATTGCCAGGGGTCATCCTCCACCACTAGCCTCAGACAAAAGGGATGCTCAGTGTTAGCCATGCGTGAGAACTCTTAGAAGACAGAACACAGGGGAGTGTAAAGCACAGTGTGGGAACAATGCTTCCAGGCTTTCATTTCAATACTTAGGCTTGCTGAAAAGGCTACATCTAATTTAGGTAACTGACCCTTTTAATTTCTGGTTCTCCAGAGCAGGGACAGGTGTCCCCATCCAACTGGGAAGCTTCTTCCCTGGTCCTGCCCACTCTGCCCGGAAGGGAAAAGCTCTTATCTCCAATCAGCTGTTAACCAGAGACAAGAGCTTTTCCCTCTAGGGCAGAGGGAGGGCCAGTGGAGGAACTACTGGGTGGATTGGTCCTTTGGTCTGGAAGGATGTTGCCCAGTGACCCAGTGTTGGTTGCTTCTGAGCAGACATGCAGGGGTTATCCTGCTTACTTGGGAGCAGACCTGCTGCCTATTTACTTTCTGCTACTCCCTGGTAACAATTAATTCCAGGGGTAGAAAAGTGAGTGATTTTTCAGCCTTGCACAGTTTTGCCTCTGGCCCTGCTGGCTACTAGAAAGAGGTCACCAAGAGCTTCCTGGAAGTAGAATTTGGCCATCAGGTTGAAAAACAGTTGTCTCCCCTGTTCTGAAGGTATCATGAACAGGGCTTAAAACTGCTTTTGCAGAGTCACTGTGAGCAAGGACTGGATACTGGCAAGATTGTCTGGTAAAGAAACGTATTTATTTTTATTCATTTATAACATTTTTACACTGCCAAGGAGATCTTAAAAAGGTTGAAAACTGTGAAAATAGATTAAAAACAGTGTGGAACAATAAAACCAACACTGAAAAGCAAAATGCTTTCAAATACCAGTTTAATATACGGTGGCTGCACTGGTTTCCAACAGATTTGGTTTTGAGAAGCATTTTAAATCAGGCTTCCCCAACCTGGGGCCATCTAGGTGATGGACTACAACTCCCATCAGCCCTAGCCAGCAGAGTCAGTGGTGGTGCAGGTTGAAGTCTTGCTGGGAAAGGGAGGGCAAACTGGTAAATTACAGTTTAAGTAATTAAGAAAACCCCCGTTTCTCTTCCATCTTGCGAAATTCAGGTATGTCGCTGCAGCACTAAATCTGCTGGAGGAATCCTCTTGCCTTCAGCCACATTTTATTGCGAATGGTGCAGGGGCTCATCACACTTGCTGGCTGGCGCTACAATCTATATGGTGCGGGAGTATTAGGCAAAAGCCCCTCCACCTTCTACACCATGACCTTCCACTCCTTGCCTGCAGACAGGGCCGTCTTAACAGCATTATGGGCCCCGGACAAAGCAGTGTACTGGGGCCCTTAGGACAACTACAGCTACTGTTAATTTGGGAAGTTTTCCAATTTTCCAAGGGTTAACATACACAGATTAGTATGGGGCCCACGGGCAAGTGCCCATCAGGCCCATGCGTTAAGACGGCCCTGCCTGCCGAGGGGAGAGTCGCACAAATGAGGCCACTGGGCACACTGGCCAGCCTACAGAGGAGCCGCATCATGAGAAAATGCTGCATGAAATGGGTACTAAAGGAACTCCAGCACCACCGCCATGCAGGTTGAGGGAGGTGCCAGCCCAGTAAGTCTCTGCTTCCCCAGATCAGTTCATTCAGAACCCAACTTGAGGCAGAGATCGTAGCCCTTCCCGTGATCTACAACAAAGAGAAGACACGGCCATGTCCATGAAGGTTCTCCTCAGATTAACGACATACCTGGTAGCAGATGGCACAGATATCGTTGTGCTGTTCCAGCTGCTCTTTGGTAGCAGTGGGCAGAGATTTGATCTTATTCACAGCATCCCTGCGGAGGAGAAAACTTTTCCATCCCAACTGAGCACGAAGCCACACATTATAATAGGAGTGGATGAAGATGATCATTGAGCCCATCACAGTCCACTCTCCAAAGATGGTCTCTGACACTCCGTAAGCTACAACGCAGAGGGCAACCAGGAACTCTAGCAATCGATAGGTACCGTTGACATAGTAAATGACATCATCCATGTTTTCTACCGGTTCTTTCCTGAACTCCTCAACCATAAACAAGACATAAATGAAGAGGGTTCCAAGTACCTGGAACAGGAAGATCGAAGCAGACAAGTCACAAGGCTAGAACTTCTCAAAATCACATAGTCCCCTAAGTGTCTGCACTAAGTATGAACATATGCAGAAATAAATTCCTAATTAAGAAGTCATGAAGCAAGCTTTATAAAAGGAAAAAAAGTGGAATATCCTATTTTAGTTCAAGAGTTGCAACACAAATGCATTAAAAGCCGCCCCGAGGCTTATGCAAATGGAGCAGCATATAAGTTTTCCAAAATAAATAAATACAACTTATTTAGGATAAATCTAGACTTTAATATCATTGAACACAATTCAGCCAAACTTAAGCAGCTTTCAGTCCCGCTGATTTCAATGGGAGATTTGATTACATGCTCAGCTCTATTAAAATCAGTGGAACTTAGAAATATCCAGCTATGGCTGGATTATGCCCAAGTTTAACTTCTTTGGTGGTGGACATTCTAAAACGGGTATACTCATCATGGCAGCAAATTATATTGTACGGATTACAAGTTCGTAAACAATTGCACTGTGCCTGGTCAGGAAAACAGGGAATCACAGTTCTTTAATATCAAGGTAACACGATAGATGCAAAGTGTTCATTCAACTACTGCCACCATTGCCACTGCAACTCGCCTGATTTTGTATCTTGCCGTCCTGTTGCATTCTAATATTTTCTCGCCATCCTGTTGCATTCTAATTCTAATACTTTGCATCACACAGATCTTGCCATCCTGTTGGAACGAAACAGCCATCGACAGCATGCAAGAGCCTATTAAGCTTACCTGGAGGGAAGTCAGAATACTGCTAGAAATAATTATCAGCAACCAGAAATCCATGTGGAAAAACTGGCAGATCATGTAGGCCATGTAAGCTGGGAAGACCAGCAAGAACAAACACAGGCTCACAGCACGGAAATGCTTCCAAAGGCTCCTGCAAAAACAGAAAAACAAAATCCAAAAAACCAAAGGTCAGTACAAAGTCAGAGATAACTTACTAGACAGCATCGTTCCAGTGAGAGTTGTCATGAATCCTTGCTGAATATAATAATTTTCTTCAGAAGACAGTATCTGGGACCTGGTTCACACTATCATGGTTGTTTCTGAGCACATGTTAGCAAGCAAATGTAGTGGTTCCAGCCTGGTCCCCCACTTCTATTATCACTACATCCAAATTCAGAAACTCTGGGCTGTTTAGGGGTTAAGCCAAGGAAAGAACCTCCAATGACATGCCAGGCCAGATGAATATGCTTTTCTTCTCACTGATACAAATCAACAGAAAAGGGCAACCAAAATGATCAAGGAGCAAGAGCAACTCCCCTATTATGGCAAGCCTATAAATGCTTGAAACTGTTTACCTTATAAAAATGCGAGTAAGGCGAGACAAGATAGCAATGTATAAAATTATGCACAATGTGAAGAAAGCAGATAGGAATTTTTTTCTCCCTCTCACATGGTACTTCTTCACATACTGCATAAACTGTGGAGTTCAGCACAAGATGTAGTGATAGCCTCCAACTTGGAAGGCTTTAAAAACGGTATCAGAGGGGTCGACCAGCACGGGCTATGCCCACATGAATATGAGGGCAAGTATATCCATGGTATTCTTTTGGTGGCTTATTCATATCTGATATGCTGAAAAATGAGGTAAGTGCTGAACCCAGGAACTAGTCCGGTACATTAGAAACCGTGCCAGGAGGAGCTTGCTGGTCTACACAGGCTGATCCACTTACCTTGGATGACACCCTGCGTCACTTCAGCTGCAACAAGCTTGAGTCTCCCAGAAACACAGTGCTGGATCGGCTGTAAGCCTGGGCTTGCACTCAGGTGCTCCCTCTGCTCCTTGAATGCTGTGGGTCCCTCCCTCTTTTCCTGATTGCTCGTCCTTTTGTTGAAGCTGACAAACTACGGATCACAGGAAGCTGCTGAACACTGCCCAGACCATTGGTCCATTTAGCCCAGTACCTTGAACATGTGACTGGCAGTGGCTTGGGCTTGCCTTACAAACTAGCATTAGAACCACCACATCTGTCAGTTCAAATGAAAGAGCAAGCAATCATTTGCCTCAAAGGAGGAAAGGAAATGTTACAGAGGAAAGGATGGAAGAGCCTGCAGCTCACCAAGGGCTTGCTCTCATCATGCCAAAGCATAGTTTGGCGACAGGGTTGAAACAGGTGACAGTCCCTGAGCCACAATTCATCGAATTTCTTTCCAAAACAGCAAATAGTTGAAGGCAGCTGTCAGCAGGAGAGAAGACGTAACTTACTTGTCTCTTGAAGCTCCAAGAGCTAGGACGATGGGATCTGCAATCTCAAGCATGGACTGCAAGATGGATGCAACCACAATGAAGAGGATAATACTGAGCAGGAAGGCCCGATGGACAACTTGTAGTTCAATTAACCCAGTCTGCACAGCCAGGATCAAAAGCGTGACTCCTTCTGTCATCCCTCTTTAAAGTCAAATAAATAAATGCATAGGAAAATTAAGAATAAAATTTAGAATACTTTATTTGCATTTGAGTCAATTTTAAAATGATGGCATGGATACGCAACTCTATCCCTAAAGTGGTCTTTCGCACATTACTGAGAGCACTGACAAGGGGCTTGCATAGGCTCAAGAAACCACTTCTGGATCACTGTACCTCTTGGCTTATAAAAGCCGGCAGGGAGGAAATGGCTAACTAGGCAATGACTCCTTGCAAGAGAAAGTGGTCCCAGGCCACCCAAGGGAGGCAGTATTGAGACCACTCCTGAAGAAACCCTCCCTGGATCCAAAAGTTCTTAACAAGTTCAGGCAAGTGGTAAATATTTGTTTCCTGGCCCATTTACGCAGCTTGTCTGTCCATTTCCAAGCCTATTCAAGGGGGTGTTTTGGGCCAATAGGCCTTTGCCTGCAGGAGCACCTGCCTCAGTATGAGTCTACCCATATTCTAGGATCATTATCTTAAAGCCACCTCTTCCAGGTTCAGAGGATGGCAACAAGGCTTTCTTGCCTGCTTGTGGGCTGATCTCCCCACTGAGCTTTGCCTGGTACCATCACTGCCCTCTTTCTGGCATTAGCTAGGACTGTCCTCTGCTCCCGGGCATCTGATGACATACAATGGAATTCCAATGACAGTTGTTACAGCTGGTCCTCCAGGGCTTTTAAGAATATGTTGGTGTACCATCCCAGAGAGGCTTGGCTATCGGGAGGTGTAGAAATGAAATTTAGTAAACAAGATGACATGAAATGATTGCAGCTTGTGATCTTTCTCAAATGAGATTCTGCTCAGTGGCTACCAGTTGCAAATCCCAGTGCTGATCTGGAGTTCCCATATCTTTTCATAAACTAGATAGGTAGACTTGGGCATGTCACCATCTTTTAGTGTTAATTTTCCCAGAGGATCACAAGCGGCCCTGCATTAAAGACCTGTGTGGGAATAAACAGAACTGCCTCTATACAGGATCATAACTGGAAACTGCTCTTCTGAGTATTTATTCACCCGAAATGCTCTTGGATCACTTCTGACCTATTCTGTCCTTGGTTCATTTTTAATTCCTGTTTATCTGCTTATGGATGGAAACAAGGTTTCAGCAGTTGAGAGATCCCTTGCGTGGTTATACATTTCTATTTTTATACAAGACTATTGTCAGAGAAAGGGAACTATTTTCAGCTCTTGCTTTCTCTGCCTGCCTTCAACTTAAACACCCTTTGAAACTGAAACAGTTTTAGACCGGCTGGCACACTGAAGAAAAAGAAATGAAGTGGCAGTATGACAAAGAAAAGTAAAGAACGGGGTGCTATTTTATACAATGCTATTGCAATGGGTGGATTGGTGCGCCAGGACAGCCTGTCTTGGTGATTTCCAATGATGGGGTGGTGGTTCCACGAAGCACCCATGATGAACCCGACAGGTAATTGGGCTCAGTGTGGGTGCTCTGATCCCTCCCTCCGGGTGGCATCCCAGGGGACACCGCAGGAGGATCGAGTCCCTTCCCCTTCATGCCAAGAAGCCCAGGTGCTTTAGGCACATTGTAGCTATTTTATCTTGTAGAGAGGAGGGAATTGGGAAAGTTACTTGACAGCCAGCTTCCGCCTTTCATATTTGGGCAGCCACCAGCTTTCCCTTCGAAGTAACATAGAGGCATCACAGAGGGGCTGCACAGTATTTTTTTTAAATGGTGTGCCCTGAAAGTGCATAGACAATTAAATTTGAAAGTTTATTTTTATTCCCATTAGCACGAATGCCTGAAATAGAAGCTTTGCAAGACTCAGCTGGATACAACGAAGGAAAGGTTTCTGTTCCCTCAGATGATAAGGAAAACCCTGCATGAGGCCCCAGCAGAGGCTTGAAAACATTCCTCCCGCCCAGTACTGACAGGTCAGGAAGCCAAGCAGGCAAGTGAAACCCAGTTAAGCGCTCTTCTACCAGGAAAGTGTGTTCTAGGGACTCCCCCTCCCCATCTCAGTAAGATCCTCAACTTTTCCAACTCTTTTAGTGCCTTCTAGGCACTTTGGAAAGTGTAACCCCCCCCCACCTTTTTAAAGGAATATGTGCCTGAAAGGTGGATGTCATACCCCGGTTCCCTTTAAAATGGGGGTCTGAGCAGGGATCTGGAGGGTTTGGACTGGGACATACTCTGAGGTGTCTCACTACAAATCAATCCAAATCTGACTCAAAGATTGCGACCGCCACCTTTCTGTGCACTGTCTTTTCAAACGTTTCCTTTTCGGGGAGCGGGGGCACAGCCTTTTAGCTCTTCCCCAGCCTCTAGAGCAGGGGTCCTCGAACTTTTTACATATGGGGCCAGTTGAAAGGCGGTGGCTACACGCACAGGCCGGTGAGGGGGGGGGTCTGGGGGGTGCGGGCCGGTAAGGCATCGTCGGGTGCATGCGAGGTGGTGTTGGGCGTGTGCGGTGGCAACTCGCTCGCTCGGAGATCTCTGAGCAAGTTCAAAACCATCTCCGAGCAAGCAAGCCACCGGCAAACGTGCGTGTGCGGGGGAGGCAGGTGGCGGCAGCTTGCTTGCTCGGAGATGGTTTTGAACTCGCTCGGAGATCTCCCAAAGAGTCCAAAACTATCTCTGAGTGAGCAAGCCACCGCCTCCCATGCGTGGATGGTGGCGCAGGCCATAGTTTGAGGACCCATGCTCTAGAGGGTCAGAGAAAATTTCATAAGCTGCTCTCCCAAAGGAAGTAAAAAGGGAGACTTGAAAAGCGGAGGATCTTGCTGAGAAGGGGTGTGGAATCCCCACAAACACCTGCTTCTCCCTTGTGACTGGGGCTATTCTTTATTTAGTGGCCTCCCTGACTGACCTGTCAAGAGACATCCAGCACAGCCAGAGGAAGGTTTCCAAGCCTCTGCAGAGCTCCGGGAAGGTCCTCGTTGCTGCTGGCCAGCAGGAACCACCCACCACCGGCCTCTGGCAGGGGCCTGGAAGGCTCCCTTTAGTGCGTCTGTGAACAAGTGAGTGCATTTGAAGTAATGGATACAACAGTTGGAAAATACTATGTGTATTGTTGGGTGTACAAAGTCTTTTTTTAAAAACTTGGCCGCCCCTGGCAGCCCCTTCAAGGTGCTATGAAGGGAGAGTTGCCCAAGCAGGGAGGCAGGAAGCTGGTGCCAAGCTGCACTGTCGTTGAAAGCAGAAAACAGCCCGAGGGAGCCACAGACTCTGCATCATCAAGGGAAGGCCCAGGCCAGTTGCTCATGAGCGCAGCCTGGGCACTTGTGAGATGGCTGGTGCTGGCAGAGGCCAGAGCCAGCTTGGACAGGGAGGCTGGCAGTTTTCTACCAGCCTTGCTGAGTGAGTTGCTGGCCATGGGTTTTCACCCACAGAGGGATCGGTCATCCAGGTTTCAACGACAGGATGAACCACCACTGAGAAAACAAGCCACAGGTTTTCACTGTGGGCAGTGCAGGGGAACAAAATCAAACCCTCCCCACATGGGCAGTCTGCAGTGGGTTTGCACAACATGACAACCAACTGTTGACTTGGTCGGTTGTTCTGTCTTGTGAACCCAGCCAATGTGTCTGTGCTTTGTGTAGCTAAGAAGCCAGAAATATGAGGCAAGCAAACATCACGATGGCAAGCAAGCCGAGATTCACAGACACCATGTTAGGAATACGCATAAGACACAGAGGAGGAATGTTAGAGGAAAGGTGTTTCTTCTGATGGTTCAAAACCTTTTTAAAAACACATATTCAATAAATGCACCCCAAATCTCATTAAACTTATTTTTCTTTATATGCCCTGTTCTCACATTAACATTGCAGATTAATTTATCATTAATAGCTATATACCAAACTTCTCCATAACAATTACATGACTGATAATCATATTTTACTTTCCAGGTCTTAGCTATGTTTACTCTTGCAGCAGTTATTAAATCTGTTATTAATTCCTTATTATTCCAACTCCATTGTTTCTTATCAAATGTTGAAAGTAATGTGATTTCAGGGCATATTTCTATATTTAAACTTAATATTTTACTACTCCCTTTAAAAACTTCTTTCCAAAACTTCATTATATATTTGAATTCTCACATATGAAAATATGTACTCACTTCACGACCACATCTTCAATGTAAATTGGAATATTTGTTATCTATACAATTCAACTTTACCAAAAATTAGTACCACTTTCATAGTTTTATAAAAATTTTCCTTTATCCTCCTCATGCAAATGTTTTCCCAATCTTCATTACTGACATTCTTCCTCAAAACTGTTTCCTATGCTGCTTTAAGTGCATCATATTGATCCTGTTCTTTTAACAATATCTTATCAATTTTATTTACTATCCCTTACATCCACAGTCTCATTTTCCTTTTCTATAATCATATCTTCAAATTTTGTATAATCCCAGCACCTGCTTCTTTTCTTTATCCATTCTCTATGCCAACATTCTAACTGAATCAAATCATACCAAGTTATTTTCTCCTTTCCTAACATTGCTTTTATCTCCCCATTTTTATTCATTTTCTCTACTCAATCTTTTAATCTAATTATGTGTTTGTTTTTTAAAATCTCTCTCATATTTAATAAAGGCCCTTCTAATTCTGTTCTTGGACATAATGGTGAGATTGATGGCATGCATTTTTCCTAATACCTATTCCAAATTTTTCATCTGCAAACTTTTAAGGAAAGGATTTCCTACCTTTTCAATAATATTTTTATTAACACATTTGAAAAAAGAATCTATCAAGGATCCTTCTAGTTGACAAAACGACTTACACTCTCGAAGGGTTCTGCCTCTTCGACGGTGCACTTACCTATTCATGGCTGGGTCATTCATGAACGCTCGGTAGCCTTGCAGGTAAAACTTGCAGAGGGTTAGAACGCCGAGTGCAACAAAGGAGACTGTAAACACCAAGCCCAGAAGGGAATAGGGAGTGCTGCAGCATTCTGCAATACTAGACAAGAGAAAATATAGAAAAATGAAAACTCCAAAGAACTACACAGAATAGGCTTGAGAGCACCCTACCCCCATGTGGCTTATGATCCAGGTTTCAAGCATGGCAGTCCAAAACTAAATTGTCCGTGCTCAGAATGAGCCTTAGAAACATAAAGAGTGCAGAAATATCTATCAGATGGTGATAGATGTTGATTCTGTCTACGATTTTACAAGATAGCACCAACCAAATTGCTGTTTTCACTCTGCTTGAATTAATGAGAGATCAGTGTTCAATTACCAAACCCATAAACACTTTCAAGTTTACTCATTCACACAAAATGGTGTTGCTCATTGCAATGTGGCCTGCTGCTGCCTGGGTGTGCATGATGCCGAGGTTTGCTGTCGCTTATTTAAGCCACGCTGAGCCCTGGCACTTGCAAGTTCCATCCCGAATATTTAACCCCTCACCATTGGCCTTTACGTTGTGTGACCCTCACCTGTGCAGATATTTAGCCTTGGGGACCTGATCCAGCCCAAGCACCTCACTCTGGATTTGAGGGCTCTTAAGAAGAAATGAATACACCTTTGTGCCAAAGACGAGGCACACTTTATCGAATCCAGCAATGAAATATGGACACAGGCCCAAAAACAAGCAAAAGAAAGCTTATGCACACACCCTTTATCTGTGGCCATATTATTTCCCAGAATACACCAGGAAATGCTTCATGGGCCTCCACAGTTGCCAAGAACAAACGACAATGCCTCTTGCCATGCTCTGTATAAAATTTCTCTCTCCCATTATTGCAGAGCCTGTCAATAAACACAAGCGCTAACCTGCCTGTCCCGAGAAGGTGCACAGCTGCTTCAGCAAGTCAAGCAGTCTCGTTTTCACAGAAAAAGCTGTCCGTATCCACATAATTTCTTTCCTGGTCTCAAAGAGCAGCTGACAGGGTTCTTGCCACACCAGGAGTGAGTGGGGAGATGTGGCAAGGCTACACTGGTCCTGCCACATCTGCCTCTCAGAGGAGTTCGTATCAGGTACCTGGCACAGGTGTTTAAATCCTCACAGAAGCCATGCTCACCAGCTTCTACTTCTGTTGATCTACATTTACTTCTGTTCTGCATTAATGCAGTGGAAAACAATGTTCACATTTGGAAGAAAATGCGAATCAGTCCAAGTCAGGCTTTTATTGCCATTTTGTGCAGTGAAACTCTCTACTTAACTGCACTGAGGGTTTTGAAGCCAAACTTTTAAAACAACCTTGTTTTATTTATTTACTCCATGTATATTCTCTATATGGAGAATCCGGAGTGGCATACAATAAAACAGATTAAAAAAATAAAACAATACATTAAAGACAAACAATAATAAAACTATTTCAACTCTCTAATCAGGAAAGCTGCTTTTCTAGCTGCTTGGGTACACTATATTTTGCAGAGATGTCTCAATGCTAGCAGGAGGGAAAAATTAACAGTATCACTGTAAGAAATTCAGTGCATGAGCCAAGGATGATTCTGGTCAGTCACTTTTGGTTATTCTGCCTATTGCGCATGCTCAAAAAACTTCTGAGAGAGAGAGAGAGAGAGAGAGAG